TTCAACAAATGAAACAACAGCTCATTAAGATATTATATTATTGTTTGACATTTTTTATTTTTTCATTTTTCAATATCTTGTTGCAGAAAGATCAGTTGGAAGTGTTATAACCGGACCGAGGAATATTCGAACATTGTTTGAGTTCATTTGTTTATTATTCGTGTAAAAGTTCGCGTTTCGAGCTTATTCATTGAACTGTTGTTGATCAAAGTTCAAGTTAGTTCGTGTCTCAATCATTTAGGAAACAAACTTGCTAAAATTGCTTGATTAACTCGAATTTAATTTGTTCGAACTCGAAAATTAAAAATTATGAAAAATATTTTACAACATATAAATATAGAAAAATATAAACTTATTCATTAAATTAAGACACGCAGACATTCATGAACATGCTCGTGTTCCGTCAATTAATAAACGATCCATCTTTTACTTGAGCCCAGATCGGTTAATAAACAAACGAGCTTCTGTTTGAGAACATTTGGTTCGTTTCAGCTTTAGTTCGAAGTCAATTTCTCCATCTATATCATAGAAAACTCAGAAATAATTCACCAAGAAAACATGGAATTGATTCGACTTCAATTAGAGCATAACCTGAGTTGATCTGTACAATGTATGAAAACTAAAGTTCCAGATTCCATAGGCCACACTTTCTCGCATGGCAATGAAAGCTAGCCTATCAAGCCATTGTTCGAACCTGAAAGCAAATGAGATTAGACAACAAGTATGCCATGCTTTGCTACTTCAACAATGAAGACTTGAAGAAAACAATCAGAACCTCTGAGATTCTTCCTTTTCTGTTCCATATGCTCTGATAGTTCTCATCAAATGCAATGTTTCTTGTGCGACCTAGAATGTTTTGGGTGGAGAAAACCTTAAACATAGACAAAGGAAGAAGGAGATATGTATTGAAAATTTCAAATTGATTATTACTTCATTGGCCGAAGCAACAGAATCTTGAACAAGCAATGCTGCTTTCTTTTGGTACCTAACAATGACAATATTTGTATACTAAAAACTCGTAAGTTATTAACTGTTTGAGCATAAGCAGTATAAAATTGTACACATTCATTTGAAACTTTTACACATGCCCACTGAGTATATATTTACATCGGTTTACCTCATCTGCCAACAGATTTAATAATTTTTTATTAATTTTTTTGAGCAAAAAAGAAATGTACCTCATACAAGATAATAACGATAAAATGTATTTGCAAAGTTAACAACCAAATGGAACAGGTCAATAGGGAGAGAATGCCCTTATTTTTCTGAATAAAACAAACCCGAGATCTCAAGGAAAATACCCCAACAAGATCAGGTCTCAAAATTAATACGCAGTAAATTGGACTTCTGTGCTAGCACTATCTGACTAAATTCTATCCTTAATGTATAACAACACATGGTATTCTTGACTAAAGAAGCTATAAGATATAAATCAAAAACCTTATATAAAACCAGCTATCAAACTTGGAATATAAAGAAATGCATCAAAACTTACATCCCATAAATAAAGAAAATTGCAGACAAAATAAAGCATATGCCCAGGGATGACAGTGCCAGTGGCCAGGACAAAGTCATCAAGACGATAAATGCACCTATACCCTGCAAAACATTACTCAGACAGAAAATACAGCGGAACATAATTGGGGGGAAAAAAATAAACCAGATTAGTACCTGAACTATGTTTCGAACTATCAAGTGTATGTCATTTCCAATGATTTTTGACAATCGCTGACAATCAGTACTAATCCTGCTAGTCAAATTGCCAACTGCTTTCGATTCAAAAAAGGATATATCCTACAATAAATGCAAACTTACATAAACTAAAATAGCACAGAGATGTCTGAAGACAGCATAAAAAAAGTCCAATATCGATATACTATTTAGTAAACCTGAAGAAGCAGAGAGCTATATACAGTTTCCCTGAGGCGTTTAACCTGCATATGTGAATGGTACAAACTGATGGCTCATGTTTTGTTAAAAAAAAATAGGGGTGTGAAAAATATATGACTGTTTGTACAGAAGCTATGACGTAATTCACTTGATAATCAGTTCTAGGAAAATATCGAGGAACGAAAATAGTCACGTAATGCTAAAGTACCAAAGAAAAAAAATATATATCAACTAAAGCATAACTTGTTGACGCACCAAAATCGTATTTGCAAGAGCGAAACACCCACTTCGCAGACCGCTGTGATGGATGAAAATTCAAAACATGTGGCAACAATTAATCTGGCTTGAGACATTTTCCAGGGAGAAGACAGGATTTAAAAAATACAACAAAATATATGAAAATGATATGAGTAACCTGCATATTCCTGAGGTGAGGCACAAGAAAACCAGAAGCCGTGAGTTTCGAACAAACACCAACATCTCACCATTTTGAGCTGAAAAAATTGATGCCGCCAGTATTCCAGGAATAGATATCTCCGAAAGCTGCAGAACATATAATCTCATTCGTACAATCCGAGCACAGTATTATCCTTAACAACTTAACGAGAAGAGTAGAACATTAATCATACATCTATAGTTCCAAACAAATCATATTTGAACATCATGCCCCTAAGAATAAAATCTACCTACAGGCTACAGCAACCTCGTCATTTGAGAATTTCAAATTGCACGAACTTTTCATCCATTAAAATTGCAAAATCTCAACAATCCCCCTAAATTCCACAATATGCAACATGATAGTAATGCAATGATCAAACGAGGCAAAAAACTGCTTAACCAAACGAAAACAGAAATCATCTAAGCTTTAACAACTAAACTTCATCGAAGCAATCAATCCAGACACTACAATCAAATGCGGCCCAGAATACATTCGCAAACAGAAACCATGTAACAAAAATACTCACAGCCGCCACAGCTAAAGCACCAAACGCCATGTACAGAACCCACTTTGCATCAGCTACGAGGACCCACATCTGTGTCAGAGCTTCCCAAACAGTCACCGGCCCTCGTCGCATTTGGGTAGCCGCCGATTTCCCCCTCGCAGCCACTCAAATCCCACCAGCTTCCACCTGGAATTATATCTCTGATAAACATGAACCATACCTCGAAAATGTGTGGGGCTTCGTCACTTGTGTCGCAACAATCCTCTTGATTTCGCTTCAATGCTTTTGTAAGAAATGTATGTCTGTAAACGGAGTTGGGCTGGCGGCCAAATTGGATTGTGCTTAATAGGGCTTGAGCTATGGTTAAATTGCGAAATTCGAGCTTGGAAATGGAGATAGAAGTTGGAGATGAGATGGCTCTGTGGTTGTCGGAGGTCCGAAAGCAGAGTGAAGCTCGAACAGCGGCCATGGAAGAGATGATTCGAAAGAAAAAAAATGAAATTACTAATTATATGATATAAAAAATATAGGGCTAGCATGACAGGCCCATGACAAAAAAAAATAATGTTTTGGCCCAAGGTAAGAAAAGTAAAGGCCCATCAACTGCGATATTGGGAATTTGGTACTGAATATAATAGTAATATTTTGAAACTGCTTGCCCAAACCCCACGTGTGCAAGTGCAAGTGTGCATGTTTAATACAATCTCAAATTATAACCCTGAGCCCACACACCATTATTGTTTTATTGACTATTGACTGATTTTGGTTCATAGGATTCCTATTCATTAAATATTAGACATTTATGATATATTATCTTCAACACCATAATTATATCATAAGAAGCACTTTTTTATTTATTTATCTATTTATTTTGTGTAGAGTAATAGGTATAGAGTATATGGAGCCAAAAGAAAATAATTTGAACTGAAGGCGGGGTTTCGTATTTTTCTCATGCGCAAATTCATAATTCCTCCATTTTGTTAAAATTATATTTTGTATTGAAATGTTTTACCATCATTTGTCAACTTTTGTCCCTAGTGATGTGAAGAAGTGGGAAACTGTTACGATTCCGTTACGGAACTATTTCGTCGGGGTTTGTAATCGTTAGATCGTCGTGTAACCGTTGGGATAGTTGATCTAACAGTTACAAAACCCAACAGAATGGTTCCATAACAGGACCGTAGCATCTCCATAACAAGTAAGAACCATTAATAAGTTATGCTAATAAAGTAATAATGAGGCGAGGGATTTATAAAGATTAATTAAGTATTATAACTAGTAAATGACTAATAAAGATTTTCACAAAATGATGAGACACTTTTAAGGGGAAATTTTGGAATTTTAAGGGGAAATTTTGGAATCTCGCGTAGTGAATATGTTGTAAACAGTTCAATTATATTATTAACTATTAAATTATAAGAAGCAAAAGCAGCTTTTCTTTTTATTTATTCATACATATGTTGAGTTCGTGCAAATATGAATTTTGTAAATGATTAATTGGCAAAAGCAGCCTTTTTTTTATTTATGCAATTTTTTTTATTTTTTTTTTGGTACTGAAAGATGGAAGACTCATGACACTATCCTACGAGGGTAGGCAACCCTCACAACATCGTGCTCGAGCCAATATTTCAATTCTGCCGGCGGAACCTTTAGACGTTGCAACCCACTTGGGCCCGACGCCGCTAACGAAGCCATCTAGTCAGCCGAAAAGTTTGATTCACAGTAGACATACCGTATTTCCACACGCAAACGCAAGGAATAATTTGTCCTGTGTCTAAAACTGCTTTAGCTCCATCCGAGAAACAATTCAATATATTCATTAACCAAAAAATTAAAACATCGTACTATAACTTTGTACTAATCACCCTTGATTACCTAAAAAGACGTACGTAGTTTTCTTGACTTTGCTCTAAGCAAAATTTATGTCGGCTTCGTGTAAACTCTAATTGTATTTTCATGATTTTATCTTTTATCATTGAATTATATATTCATTTGTAATTTCAATTAATCCTAACCAAGTTTGCAATATTCGTCCACCCATTCTAATAGTTATGAATTTCCTTGTGGTTTATGATTACTCTGACCAGTCATTAGTTTATTTAAATTTTAATAATTAGTAGTTTAACTCTAAAAATGAATACAAGTTTATATTTTATGTAAATTTAGTCTTTTGTAAAAAATTGTATTTGGTTAGCGTATAAGTACAATTTAATTATAACGTATTAGTAAATAGTAAATGTATAAATGGTTTTAACTAAATGATAATTGTGATTATTTAGAAGGATATTCTTTTTTAAACTAGAGCTTATCTCATAAGTTCATTTAAGTCTGTAGCTTTTTATAAAAACACCGTTAAATTTATTAATTCAATTGATTTATTAAATAATAGGGTCAACATTATATTTGATAAATTATGGCAGCGTTGTTCAATCAATTTATTATTAATCCTCTTTACTGTGTAGGTGAGTAAAAGGATAAGATAGTGGTAACAATTATTGGCCAAAATAATTATGATATAGTACTTTTTTTTCTTTTTTTTTTCTTAAATGGGGATCAATACTAGTTCCCCAATTTCCCTCAGGTGACTCGAACTCGAGACATGATACACACCGAGCAAAGGTACGCACCACTACGCTAACCCGCTTCGTCGTGATATAGTACTTTTTTATTCATACATATCAGAGGTGTTGATGCTTCCTAGAAAGAAACAATAAGTTTGAAAATTATAATATATCTGCTGAGAGAATCCAATGAAAACCATATATATGTAGCTTTGAAAATTGAAAGTGCTTTTGCATTGCACATATATAAATGTTCATTAAATTAATTAACTGAATATATCGGTTCAGCTTTATGCAACTCTTAAAATGTAATCTCAAGAAGAAATTATAAATTGTTTAATAAATTATCGAACATTAATATATACGGGCTAAACTAGCTTCTATCTAAAGAAGATGTTACGGTCTCTTACGGAATCATTCCGTCGAGTTTTGTAACTGTTAAATCAATTATCTCCGACGGTTACATTATGATCTAACAATTACAAACTCCGATAGAATTGTTCCGTAACATAACCGTAGCATTTTCCTTTAACTAATTTCCTTAACCATAATTGATAACAATCTTGAAAGAATAATGGAAATAAGTTACTTTTTCTATTTGTGTGTTTATTCAATTAAATAAATTTTTCAAAAGCTTCCTAGTTCAGTCTTATCCTAACTTTAAATTAAAGTGTTGACTTTGCATGCACCATGCAATGATGTAAGTTTTTCTTATCTTAATAATGGGTTGAGGAAGAGATTGGAGAAAGAACAATTTTCAACGAAATTGAATGATTTGATAGTCTAGCCCCAATTAATAAATACTCCTACAAAGAGTCCAACAATATAATAGTATTAAATTAATATTCAATTCAGTGCACATGTAAAATTGTAAATAAAATTTCACAAGTTATATGTGTATGTATATAATATTTAAAAACATGAGTAATATAACGAGTGTATCAAATTTTTATAAATTTTAGCATCAATAAAAATGAATGATATTAGTATAAACTAATTGACTTACATATATATATGATTATTTGTATTCATTGCATTGTGTTATTTTACAAATTTGGTTGAAGGTTGATTGTGACAAATTAATTAATTAGAGCAATATTAAAATTATTATTATAGCAATTGCGTACTAAATTTTAAAGTGTTTGGTTATGCCATAAAAATAACTAAGTAATGATTAGTTAGTAGTAATTAATATGTAATAAGATAAATGAAAAATATTATTATTAGTGTAAAATATTATGGAAATAGAGGAAAAACGAAAACAATTGTCATAATTTTTTTACCAACAATTATATACATATATATAGCAAAAAGCAGGCATCTTTTTTTTTTTTTTTTATTCTTGCAACATGTCATGCAAAGAGTATAAAAGGTAAATGAAGAGGTAAGATTACTACAAAACTCTTTCATAACTAGAATTGTTAATCAAACAAGTCAACTCATAAGCTCGACTTGACTTGTTAGAATCTGAGATTGTTTAAGGCTCATTAGACATTAAAAATAGGGGGCTTACATATCTTTTGCTTTTATCATAATACATCTCGTTAATGTTTGGTTTGTTTATCGGTACGATTTTGATTAGACTCGAAGTCAAGCTTGAGTATTAGGAGCACGAGCTCAACTACGATTGTTTATGACTATAAAATTATAAATCACACATTTAATTATTTTATTGTATGAAATTATATATTTCTAGTGACATTACTCATTTCTACTAATACTTTGCTTGGAGTATGAAGTTTAGGAATCTCAATATCTAAGGACTCGTTATTTTTATTTCATGTTTAGTCTTTATTTATTTTCCCACGTTTAAGCTAGTTAGCTAATTTTTTTTTTTTTTGTTCTCACTTAACCAAAGTGTAGAATAAGAAATTTTATATTTTGTCAATATAATATAACTATCGGACTTATGTTAGGCCGATGGGTAGACACTATATTTTTCCGTTATACCGTCATTTTAAATAGAAATATAACATTTGATAGTATACATATTATTTTTGGGAGATTCTATAGTCCCATTATACAATCATTTAATCGCGTTTGTAACCGTTAGATCAACTATCCATAACGATTAAATGATGATCTAATGGTTACTAATCTCGACAGAATAATTTCACGCACAATTTTGTATGTACATTTTTTCATTTATGGAGTAAGAATGTGGGGCCAATGAAAATTGAGTGTAAGAAAATAGACCTCGAAGTCATAAAAGCCCCACATAGGATTCTCATTTGACACGCTCGATTGTACAACTGCCCTTTTTATTACCACCAGTGAAGCATTACGAGGGAGCTTGAATTGGGCTTTTCCCAATCTCGCCCCTCTGGACATTCTGGCCAACTGGGCCCAAACAATTATTTTAAAATTTTGAAAACAAATTGGAGAGCAAAATTGCCAATTTAAGAAATCTACGAAGCATTTATGACCATGAAAAACAGAAAAAGATGTTGCTTTCACTTGGCTTCTTCTTGGACTATAACAATAATGTTAACATCTGTCTAAAATAATACTATGCTTCTAACTTTTATGACTGCTGCAAATAAGCTAGAAATTTAAGTAGGCACAAATGAAAGGAGAATTTCAGTAGCTACACTCCATAAAAAAATTAAAGTAAATACTGAACAAAATTAACACATAAGCTCAACAAAGAATAATGTGCTGCTCATGGACATTCAAATCCATCTGCAACATAATCACATTAAAGTACATAATAATCATCACACACAATGCTTAAAAAAATGAAATCAAGATTATAGGGAGCATATTGCACATACTAAACCAAATTAATTTGATTAAGGATTTTTTTTTT